GGGCCTACTGCTTCCTGGTCACAGGTCCCTACCAGGAGAGTGACACCTTAGACAATTCCTCATTCACTCTATCTCGTCTTCCTCCAATTGGGCCCCTCAGGCTGCTCCTGAGGTGGGGATGGAGCTTTGCACTGGGGCTGTACCTGCACTTGCTTTCTAGGATTACTCTGATTCTGTGCCAAAAGGATTGAAAAAGCATCCCGTATGCATGTTCTGACCTCAGTACCACTCTATACTTTCAATGGAGAGAGGAGCTCTTTTAGGGCCTGACTGCACTGGAGCTCAAAGTGTAATGTCCAGCTTGGGTAGATATACCCACGTTAGCTTTGATCAAGCGAGCACACTAAAGGTAGACGCTAGCTGCAGTGGTGTGGGCTAGCTGCCTGAGTACCTACCTAGGATCTCAGATGGGATTGTACTCAGACATCCCACGACCCCTGCCACTGTGGCTACACTTGTATTTTTATCACACTGGATTGAACAAAGCTAGCGTGCCTATGTCTACTCAAGCTTCAAATTACACCTTGAGCTCCAGTCTACATGTACCCGTAAGGGCTGAGGGCAACCAGCCCCACCAGCACCTCCCTCCAGAGACTGCGCTCTAAGGTACTGCTATAAAGAAGGTGGGAGCACTGCCAGACTCTCCTTCCTCTCCTTCCCCACCCCACCCCATTCCCTCATATGACTGCTGGAGAGAAGGGGGTAAAGAAAAGTATATGCTGTAAAGCAGTGGTTCTAACCAGGGGTTCGGGGCCCCCTAGGGGGCCTTGAGCAGGTTTCGGGGGGGGCCTCCAAGCAGGGCCAGCACTAGACTCGCTGGGGTCCAGGGCAGAAAGTTGAAGCCCCGCCACCCAGGGCCAAAGCCCAGCCACCCAGGGCTGAAGCTGGAGCCTGAGCAATGTAACTTCGTGGGGGTTCTCGGGGTGTGGAGCCCCAGGCAACTGCCCTGCTTGCTACCCCCAATGCTGCCCCCAGCTTTTATATGCAGAAAACCAGTTATTGTAGCACAGGTGGGCTGTGGTGTTTTAATAGCATGTTGGGGGGGGGGGGGCTCAGAAAGAAAAAGTTTGAGAACCCCTGTGGAAAAGGTTAATTAAAGAAATAGAAGAGGGGGATTAGTTTATTAGCTTTAACTCCATTAACCCCTAATTACTAGCCACCAATGAAATTTTTATTTTAAATTATTAAGATTTTACATCATTAACTCCATCTCTAAAAATGTTCTGTCTGGGAATATCTAACTTCTGAAAGTCATGAGAATCCTATTTTCATTTTGTTTTACAGAGAAAAATAAAGCTTTGCAAGGACTCCTTTCTAAGCTAAACCTGCAGGAATACCAAAGCACGAAGCTCGGGCTGCGGGATGTCCTGGAAATTGGCTCAGAAAGTAAAGAAAACTGGACTCCTCAGATGTTAGAGGATTTACCGTGGCATTTCCTGAGGAAACTAATGACTCTGAATGGGACAGCCAGAAATACAAGCCTTGAACATAGAGCATGTGATGATGAAGGAGGCAGTGAGGAGGCACAGATCGCAGGTGGAGATGTTTTTAATTTTAGTGACACTGACATCAGAGAGTCTCTGCACCCCCTCGATGTTCTCTGTGCTGTTCTGCTTTGCTCAGACAGTTTCCTACAGCAGGAGATCCTGTCCAAAATGTCCATGTGCCAGTTTGCCCTCCCTCTGCTGCTACCTGCCCTCGACACCCCCAAGTGCACCCTAATGCTGTGGGCCATGAGGGACATTGTGAGGAAGTGGAGGCCCCACTCCCTGGCAGAGAGCAGAGGGTTCAGAGAGGAGAGCCTGGTGCTCACAGCAATGCCAACCATTTCCTTTGTGCGGCTGGGGAGCTGCAGCTTCTCCAAGTCCAGACTCCTCAATGAGGTTCTCAGCCCCTTCCAGCAGCACCATGATTTCTTCATCCATCGGGACATGGAGTCTGGGAACGTCCCTCGGGAAATCGCAGATGGGCTGGTCGAGATTTCCTGGTATTTCCCTGGTGGGAAGGAGAATTCAGATCTTTTCCCAGAGCCCGTCGCGGTTACAAACCTGCGCGGAGACATTGAGTTGCACTGGCTGCAGTTCAGCTTTTTAACAGTGGTCTCCTCAGCAGTGTTCATAGTTACTGAGAGCATCAGTGAGAGACAATACGCACTGTTATCATCTCTGCAGGGATCAGCCACTAAATACTACTTCATTCTCAGTTGCAAGAATGGAAATCCCAAGGAAACATTGGGATTCCTTTATAAGTTGGCTCCAGTGCTGAATCTGAGCAAATCAAAACTACTGAAGAAAGACAGCACCACAAATAATGCAGGATTTGTGCAAGAACTGAAATCTGCCATAAAAAGCATAACGAGTTCACATCCCAAGAGAATGAATTTGGAAGCCATGGCTGTGACCGCATGTGAACTAGGAATCCAGGTAGATGAGGACCGAAAGGAATGTCAGAGTGCAAGCGATCGGGCTAGAGAAATCACTGTGGAAATAAAAGATGTGGCAAAGTACAAGAGGGAAATGCTGAGACTGCAGGGGGATCTCTGGGAAGAATTGGCTAAAGTGGAAAAAGAACTGTGCAGAATGAGAAAGCAAGGGGAGACTGCCACTGAAGACTATAAATGTCAACTGAGAGAGGAACGGTTGGAATTACGTAGACAGCAGAATCAATGTGACCTTACTGATGGACTGATTACATTTATTAATGGAATAGGACAATTGCCTTCAATGGAGAAACATTACTTTCTGAAATGGATGAAGTTTTGCCTGGATCACATTGCTCGAGATAATCTTTTT